AAAAATATAACAATAGTTTCCTCGAATTCAACCCAATTTTTCCTTTTTACCATGAATACAGTAGTGGCATTTTACAATCGACAATACGGTTATCGTGAGTATTATTCATTCGGGAGTTCATTTTTAAATGGAAAATTTAATTAAAGCAAAAGTTTTGTGTGCAAATTGAGGATACTTTCGTTCGTATGGAAAACGTCATTTGACAAAGACACTTTTAACACCGTCAGCAGATCGAACAGTTTTTGGCGACTTTTTTTTCAAGTGGAATGCAATTTTACGTGCAATCGCCTGCACTGACACACAAAACAACTTCGACAAATCAAATAAAAACATTGTTTTGTGATTTATTCGCTTTTTGCGCACAATTTTGTTTTTGTACAAACCAATGACGCAATTCGCAGATTTTGACAGCAAACCAACTGAACGACAACTGTTTTTGTGACTGTGATTTAATTGTGGATGTGGTTTGGTTTTTTTCTTTCTTTCAGAGCAAAGATGGCAATATGACAATGTTTTATCGAGATTATCAGCTCACAAACATGACTGCTGGCGAGGCATTGCCCCATCCGAAGTCCACATCGACTACAATCCAACACCGCCAATTTTTGCGGCCAAATTTGCCAATTGTTCCAACCATCGGAACATCATTGCCATCGCCAATGAAGATGGAAAGGTATGAACCAATCAGTGGAAACATAGTACAGAAATCAGAGTTTTTGTGTGAAATCTGTGGCTTTTGTATTCATGTCCCATTTTTCCTTACTTGGACAAATTTTGATTCTCATTGAAAAATCATTCATTTGTTTATTCATTGACGATTTATGCTTCGCATCGGAAAATCGAGACAGAAAATGCTTTGAATAGGCAGAAATACTCGCTTTGAAGAACGAAACTGAATGATGAGAATGTGAATTTTGGGAAAAATTGGAAAATACTGAAAAAAAATGTCGTAAAATGTTGAAAATTGTTCGGAAATTGTATTGAAGTTTAATCGAATAGTCGTTCACTTTTTAGGTTGCCATCCAGAATACTGACCTCCCAAATGACAACCCTGAAGAGCAACCGTTGATCGGGAATCAGTGCCATAATAATGCCGTTTTCGATGTCGAATGGGTTCCGGGTCAAATGCAACTTGTATCCGCCTCAGGTATGGTACAATGATAACCGCTCTGATTCTAATGGGACTTGAATGATGAGAAAGAATGGAAAAAAAAGAATGAAAGAGAAGAAAATGACATAAGATGGAGAAGAAATTGGGTGAACTAGACGTTTTGCTACGTTTTAGTAACATTGATTTGAAAGATTTTGGAAAAAACGGAATTTTTGATTTTCTCTTCCATTCATTAGATTGATACTTCGCTTTTTTCATTGGAAACTTGACGATTTGCTTGATTTCTTTTATGATTTTTCTTTGACATTTTTCATTCTTCTTCTTACTACCTACATTGTAAATCAGTTGCTTCATTTCTATTCAAATTTGTTTGTTCCTCGTCATGAAGAGTTGATTTTTGTCCATTTTTAGCACTACATGGAATGTAGGCTACTGTAGTGATTTTTTTTTAAAGAGAAATTTTTAAGACTTTTTAGGCCATTTTTTTGGATCGTAAACTTATTCATTTTAATATCCATATTTTTTTATTTCAAATAAAGCAATTACGCCTAATTGCAAAAAATGAAATAATATCATGTTCGTTGAGATAACTCAAAAAAAAATTCACACTTTTTTCGTTGCCAATGTGAAATAATGTATGATGACCGTTCACATTGAACGTACATTGAAACAATAATTGAAGAATACAATTTTATCATAAATTTTTTTTAAATTATTGTTAACAATATTATAATGATTTATAACAAAAACTTGTGAAACAGACATTTCCAACATCACCCAGTTAACTTTGTCGTCTTCAGAAAATATAACGTCCGTTGAACAAAAAGTATACTTTGATAAAATCTACATTCCATGTAGTGCTTACGATAATAAATTATCGAAAATAATTAAACCCCTTGAATTTACAAGCTTCAAGAACGCAGAGCTGAGCGAAGCGACGATCTGCGGTCTTGTTTCGATATGTATATAAGAAGAGGCACAAAACGCGTATAAAATTGAATGCCATCATGGGTTATTACGCATTCTCAATACTATCATATCAATTCTCCAACTAGTAAACAGACAAAATAGACAGACCAATATCAGCAGATCGAACACATTTTTGAACTAACTATTTTTCGGTAAATTAACTAATTTCAACAATTTGTTCACATCTTAGGTGATCACACAACTAGTCTATGGCAATTGCGAGAGAGTCGTTTCGAGCTTATTCGAACATTTAATGGCCATTCGCGGTCCGTGAAAACGGTGGCATTCCGACGAACGGATCCGGCATGCTTTGCAACGGGCGGTCGTGATAATGCGATTTTAATTTGGGATACACGTGCTCGGCCCAAAGTTGGCAACAAAATGCCAAAAGCAGACAATTGCATAATCAGTGGTCATGCGACGGGACCAGGCACACCGCAAGCTTATCGACGACGACAAACGAGACAAGCAACCCCGAAACTACCACCAAATACATCGTCTAGCAGTATTACCGGTTTGGCATTTCAAGTAAGCATGAGTGGATGGAATTCTTCACTTTATGAGAATGGCAATGGACATCGATTTTCAAACAGATGAAATTATCATGTGCCTAGTTGAGAAATTGTCAACTTTTGGAATTGAAAGTTTTAAAATTTAAAAAAAAAAGTAACAAAATATTCTGAATTTTCTAAATTCTCTACTCTCTCTTCCCACCAGGATGACTACACGTTGGCATCGTGCGGCGGAGGTGATGGTATAATCAAAGTATGGGATTTACGTCGAAATTACAGTTGTTACAAAAAGGAGCCGGTACCAAAGCATAGTATCCCATATCCGGGCACGTCCACCTATCAAGGCTATTCAAATTTGTTAATCGATAGCACGGGTCAAAAGCTGTATGTGAATTGTATGGATCACAATATTTACTGTTTTAATTTAGGTGTATATGCAACGCATCCAGTAATCAGTTATACTGGTTTAACGAATAGCACATTTTATATAAAATCGAGTTTGAGCCCGGACGATCAGTATTTGATAAGTGGTAGCAAAGACGAAAAGGCATACATATGGAATGTAAATAGTTCACAGCCAATATTGGCATTGCACGGTCATGCGGATGAGGTGACATGCGTTGCATGGGCTCGAACCAATGAATTGCGCATCATAACATGCAGTGATGATTCGCGTCATAAAATCTGGCGCATAAACAATGACAATTTAGACGTGCATAATTCGGATAATTATCGCGGTGAAGCGCAAGTATTGCCACGAACAACAAAACAAATGGCCATAAAACGACGCTTAAAAGATTTAGAAAATACACCGCGTTCGCTGAAGCGAATTGTTGAACTGAATGAAACAACGCCGAGTTCAACGGAAAAATGTTCGCTGAAACGATCGTTTGGCGAAATGAATGGTGGTGATTTACAGAGTGTATCGTCGTACGGTGGGGATAGTAAAAGGCAATTAATTGAGACGAGAGCTCGTCGTTTGTTTGCACCGACATCGTCGACGAGTAGCACAGAAAGTCAACAGCAACCAATCAGATCGGACGATACACCAAGACGTATGCCATTGCCTGGAATCAGCGAAGAAGTCGAAACACCGCCAAAAGAAGAGACTAACAAAATCCTCTTATCACCGCTCAACGAACGCAATCAATTAAGCCATTATCGGTTGGATGAAATTCGAACGCCATCATCATCGAATCGACCCTCATGCTCACAATCGCTATTCTCACCCACATCCAATTTACCAAATTACGTAATGGACGCGAGTGATGCACCGCATCTGAAATTACAATCGCCGAAACGAAAGCTCAAAGAGAACATCGACTGGCTGACGAAAATCCGAAAGCAAAAACTCTCCACCACCATTAGCCGGCAATTGAATGAAAAGCTCAACGATTCGACACATCATGACAGCAGCACCAGCACCAGTAGCCATAATGATCAGCAGTCCACACACCAGAATGAAATCAATAGCGGCATTTTATCACCAAGAATGCGGAAAATTAAATCATCCGATCGCAGTTCGTGTGGCATCCAAAGACGAATGTCAACATGCCAATCGAGCGCTAACGATCATCACTACGAACAAATCTCAACGGTTGTCGATGCAACAACAACCGCCGCAGCATTAACAACACCAACACGACGAAAATCCGAAACAACACTACTTCGATACTTTTGTGTTACGCCCACAACACGGAGCCGAGAACAATCACCAGCCGCTCCAAGTCGTTCCAATGACACTACTATTAGCAATTAAGCTCCTTTTTTCGCCACATTTTATTATTTTTTTTTTTAGATGAAACAAAGGCAATTTCATATTGAAGTGTCTTTTTTTACAAACGTTTTTCTATCTCGTTAAGACCTAAACACGCTTCTCTAACAGGTGTAGTGTTAAGACCATTTTTTATATATAGAAAACAAAAACGCATGTTTTTCCACATTGAAATTATGTGCGGATAGATAACACCGAACGGCTGAACCGTTCTACATTTTTCGATAAGGTTCCTAGAAAGAAAAAAAACAATGCAAAACAAGAAAGAAAAACACACACATTTTTGTTTGGATTGAAGTTCAATTTTTTATAATTGCTGTTTGACATTATTAAAAAGAAACCAATTGACAAATATCTTTTTATGTTAACAAAAAATTGTTGTTTTTTCTTAACCCACCCACTCGTAAACTCGACAAAATAAACGAAAAAAGAACAGATCAATTAGCAAAGAGAAAAAAAAAATTATAAACAAAAGCAAACCGTCTTTTTTCTACTTTTCATCTAAAAATTCCAATTTTTCATTGTTTCGAATCCAAATCAATCGAATAGTTTGTTTGCTTTGCTATCATATGACTCAATTGGTATCAAGATTAACTTGATTGAAACTCTATTAAACTCTCTTAAGTCCATGCAGAACTCGACGAGAACAAAAAAAAAACATATTAATAAACAGTCTTGTATTGATTGTATAGCCATGACTCGGATTGCTTAACTCGCAACAAAATGACACATGTTCGACACATTTTACTTGATTTTCACCCGTTGCGTATCCTGTTCGATGTTTAACAATTTAATACCAACGCCATACAATAATATAACATGACTTAGATGCAATAGTGAGCTGGATAGCACGGTGCTGGGGTATGTGTTCCATGCAAATTCGATGAGACCGAGTAGCAGCAGTTTGAGACTGACATTGAAATCTGTGAACCAGGTGAGATATGGTAGTGTATGGAAGTACCATACATAAAATTGATAGTGTAGACTTCGTGAGCACATGATACCGATGAAATTCGACAGGAAAATTGGTAGAATGACCAATTGAACGGCACGATCAAAGTGAATTTCGTACTTTGGTTGCGTTTTAGTCGATGCATCACTGGCCTGAGTAGGGGCCGGTGATTGTGCTGGTACTCCGCTAGTTTTTCTTAGCATTTTTTCAAATGAATTCAAAAATATCTTTTGATGGATGGTCATCTCTTCTTCCGTTTGTTTATCGTCGGTGTCTTTTGTTTTGCATTTATTTTTGGCCGCTTTTTTGCTATCCAATTGTTCGACTTCACGGTTTTTTGCATCGATTTGGGGTTGCAACTGTGCTTGTAGCGTACGCAATCGACAATAGCTTTGCATATATTTGTATGAAGGCACTATGAAAATGAGTAACAATGCCACATGCACGGCCAGCAGAGTGATGTGGAAATATTTGTGTTCAAAGATTTCGATGGGTAAAAAGCGATAGTTGACGGTCCATTTGTGTTCGAAAATACGGCCAAAGTCGAAGCTACCTTTTAAATATTCCACTGGGTGTGTGAGCAAGAATGGTGTACCCAAGAGTAGTTGAACAATTGCACAGATGCTCAACTGTTTGATGGCGTCCAAATAGCCGAGATTCACGATGTACAGCAACAGAATGGCCGGTGCAAAGAGAAGAATATTCATTTTTACCGAGACACCTAGGCTCAAAAATATACTGCCCGCCGTCCATTTGCCATTCAAATAGAAGTTCAGAGCAGCATACAGGAACAGAATGGCGATTGGATCGTTGAATAATCGCAACACATAGATTGAGTGAATACGATATGAGGTGAAGGCACTGAAGATCAACACATATGGCGGCACTCTACGACTTTTCGTGTAAATTTTCAACATCAAGTACATTTGCAATAGGTAAATGCCCACAAAACAATATTGTGCCAATCGAATGTTTCGACCATGATCGGTAAGATAGTAGAATATCGTGTAGATGTACACAAATCCAGCTGGGTACACCAATGGTCCGGTGTCGCCTGAAAGAAGAAATGAACGATAGTTAGAAGCGGAAAATAAGAAAAAATCGAAAGAACACCGTAACTGAGTAGATTGACGGTACGATTTTAATACGTAGAGTCTACAGCTTTCAGTGGCGAGTTGCGTTCTACTTTAGTGGCAGAAAAAGAAAAGTGAGGAACAGAAAGTGAAAAAACGGGAACATTCGACACAGATTTGTCAGAAAAAAAAAACGAGAAAATCATCGATCACTTGATCTCACTCCCAAATCGCTGGCCACCGGGAAAAAAATGAGGTTATGTGCTCCAAATTTGTGTATATTTACCTTTTAGCAATGCATAATTGGTTGTGCCGTTCAAAAATCCTTCACACTCTTGCATATAGGCGATCCAATCGATTTCAGTGTAATTCACACGCTGCACAATGAACACATTCAGCAGGAGTTCAACAAACAAAATGCCAACTGAAACGATGGACAATTTTGCTGGATCAAATAACAACGATTTCGCATAATTCACATTCACATACTCTTTGTGAAACGATTTCAATGCATTGATAACGGACTTTTCACGCGATAAACTCTTTGTTGGTGCCATTTTTCCGCTCTACGCGTATCATTTACATAAACCTTGTCTGAATGAAAGAAAAAAAAAACACCGAAAATATTTCCACGTACAACGAGCAACAACAAAAATGGAGAGAGAGAGAGCAACAGGCAACAACAATGATAATAGCGAAAATAATAGAGACTCTGTGGTGTCAGATTTGTTATTCAAATTCACATTTTCACTTTCGCCGTGTGTGTGTGTTTCGCCTCCTGTGGGCCCCTGATCTTTTTGACTTCACGAACAATGTGAATGGCACAACCAACCGGGTCCTACCTCAATGTTTATTTTTAAAATGAACCGAAACAAGAACGGAAAAGGGAAAGAATGAATAGCACCAACTTATGTTTATTATTACTTATTCTGCTACTTATTTATTATGTTGTGTTGGCTGTCATCGCATGCCAACCGAATAGTGTTGTAGTAGCAGATTTTCTCGTTGACGCAAGTATCGTAGCAGATTCAACACAACTTTTGAACACTTTTTCTTTGTTCCAGACTCAAGCTTTACGTGCTTCTTGTTTCATGCATTATTTGAACGCGATTAACACTCGTTGAGCGGAACAGAAAAATTACTTGACTAATTATAAATGACTAATTAGCGAGTGTATCCGAGACTATGTCAGCTATAATAAAAATAAATTGCTACTGCATTCATGTACTTATGGATTGATTCGGATAAAAACACACATTTTTCACATTTTCAAATGATATTTTCAGCTTGTATGCGGAATTTTTATACTTTTTTCATCCCATTCGAACTAATAACTGAAAACATTCTCTATAATTTTGTGCTGATTTAGAATGCTGCTCAAGCAGCGCGGAAAAAATACAGGAAATTTCCTTGATTACACTTCATAATTCTTTTGGGTTTTTTTTAGATTCATTTGAAAAATTTCCACAAATTGAATATATCATATTCGTATTTTGGAGTCTTTAATTGAACATGAAGGGAATAATTTAATAATAAGAGAATTAAACACGAAGAGAACGGTTTCGTCATCATTTTGCGTATTTGTTAAACTTTTTGCAGCCATTGGATTGCGGATTGAAAGAATAAAATTTCATGAAAACAATAAACATGTTGAAGAAATGTAAAAGGGCTTTCAACAGAAAAAGGGTAAATTTGTATCAAAAAGCGGATTTCAGTTTTTAAAAGACTGTTTCTTCATTCAAAACAAATAATATCACAATACATACTTTTCTTTGTGGACATTGTCGTTGTTTCTTTTTGTAGAACAATGAAAATAAGCAAACACTGATTTTTTTTTTATCTTATCTTTACGTTAAATTGCAAATCGTGTCATATTTTAGTTGCTATTAGTCCATGAAATCAGTAAAATTGGCAGTGAACTCGGTTTAAATGTTGTTTAGGGTGCAGTCACACTAGGAACCATGGATTGGAAATACTATCATTACCAATAATAGAAAATTTTCACTTTATCTATGGATGAGATTGAGAGTAGAGTATGTTTACATGCCTTGGGCTGTCGCGGTTTTTCACGGTTTTCGCGAAACTGATAAGAGATAATATCATGGTGTTCGGCAAAGTTGTAGTACCCGAGGTCTTCTATAACAAAGCTGAAGACAGTTAAATCTCTTATCTCTTATCAGTTCTTATCGCAAATCGCGCACTAAAAAAGCAAAATTTATACAGAACTCTTTTTTTCTTATCATTTTTCTGAAAGTGAAACTGATAGGAGATAAGAGATAACTATCTTCAACAAAGTTATAGAACACCTCGAGTACTACAACTTTGAAGAAATCAAGTTGTTATGTCTTATCAGTTCTGAGAAAACCGCGAAAAACAGTGACGACCCGCCAAAAATGAACATACTCGCCTTTAACCATTTTTAAATCGAAAGAAACTTACTCTTCTCTTTCATAACAAAGTCAGTGAAACACATACACTACTCTCAATCTCACCCATAGATATGATGATGGAATTTCAATCAACCGGTGATATGCAATTGACGACGTTTTTGTTTCTAAAACTTCTTATTACGGTCACTCAAAGATTTGTGCTAAAATAATATTTTCATGATATTCAAATAGATTTTATTTCAAAAAAGGAAACGGATTTTGTGATGATGATGAAATTGGTAAAATCAAAGTACTCTTTTATTAAGTTGGATTCAAATCACTAGATTAGCTTAAATGCCAGCAATATCCCCAAACCATTTACGAGCTGATGAAACGCGATAATATACACCTGGTCCGTTTGGGTTAGCACATCCATCTCCCCAGAATGTCACACCTTATGATTTTAACAATTTTGTCACCCAAATTTGTATAGAAAACATGAAAAATAGTTCAAAATGAGAGAGCCCCAATAAGACTGAAAAAAAAACTTCTGATTTGAATTTGGGTACTTAAGTTGTAAACAAGTGATACATACCAACTAGAAGAGGGTTTATAAGTTTGTCATTTCTTCGAAGCAACTTATTATCAAATGTTACCAATGGACCGCCGGAATCGCCTGAAGAAATAAAATCAATGATCTTTTTTTTTTGCTGGTTATTTTCTTGCAAAACGTAAATGGATTTAACCTCCGCCAGAGTCTTTTCCACCTTCTACAAGCCCAGCACAAAGCATATGTTTAGTGACCACAATTGGTGCACCTACCATAGCTTTCTCACATTTTTTTTTTGGTTCCATATTGGAAGTACAACTCCCAAAAGATGCTCTTCCACATATGTGGAAGCATTTGAAGAATGTGAGGCGTTGGAAAAATACTTAGGTTCTGTTGTACCCCAACCGGTTATCATAGATTGTTTGTTATCGGGAATTATTTGATTTGCCGCTGGCATTGGAACCAGCTGAGCTGCGTTGTTGAATTGAATGTCATGGTTGAGTTCAATCAAGACTAAATCAAAGACAGGTGATTCTAAATTGTAATTTCCATGTGAAATAACACGATTGATTGTATGAACAACAGCACCCTTACGTGTATTGCTGCTTCCAAGCCGAATAGTACGATCTGACCATGACCATCATCATAACCAGTACTGTGCAAAAATTTAGAAGAAAAAAAGTCATAGGTTAGACAAACTAGGCTATTATGGAATGATAATACTACCATAGTTGAGAAAAAGCCCAGCTGGGTTTTGACTTATTTTTTTGGACATTTGGTCTCATAACACTAATCAACAGTGGTTTTTTTGGGTAAGGTATATTGATGAAATTTGTTTATTGGACCCTTAACTACAACTTTGCACCAAGACAGTACGATGCCAAAGGGATATTGTAACTTTTTTGACCAGAAAAAACGCCATCTTACGTCGTGCCCGTAAATTATTTTACTGTACATTTAGATGGTAGGGCTTGAACAAAAGTTCGACACTATGCATAAACTTGGAAAGAGCTTGATAAACTTGATGAAATACATATATTTTATGGTCGCTGCAATACCCCTATGTACGATGCAATCATCAGCATTGTACACGAGTTATTGACAAAAAACCGAAGAGGCCATCTCTGAAAAATGAACATTTGAACCACACAAACTGCCTAGGTCGATAAAATGAAAACACCAACAGAACTTTCAAAACCTATCAGGGGTTTTACTCGGCTATGTTAGTATTATCAGCCCATACCGGCCGTTTGACTGTGTAATAAAGGAAAATGAAGAAAAAAAACAGTGTTGATCCAGTTATATAAAGATATCCGATATTATTCGCACGGTGTGTCCAGCGTAACGCATGAATACTCCCTTCTCCTTTCAACTCTCTTCGTTCCATATTGAACACAACGTGCGAAAAATATCGAATATTTTTATGCGACATTTCTATCCCATTCAAATAAAAATATCCCATAATATTCTCTGATTAGGTTCCATTCAAATATCAGCCCAACTTACTATACTCTTTCGCTTTGCTTCATCCCATCCGCATGCGTCTCACTCACTAAATGAGTGACCATGCGTCTCATGCACTAGATGAGTGTGGATATTTTTTTAGTGGCACTCACCGAATATTACCATGTATGGTCACCTTTATATAGGGATTTGTCGTAATCGATAACCAATTTAAACCTTTCCGTAATAACGCTTTTAATCAATTCGTTCTAGGGACTAACGATTCAACATACACGTTCAATTTTCCACACAACATCTCCAAAATTCCACGGTAATCAGAAGTTTTTCGGATTACTCATTTGATTTTCGAAACATTTTCTTCATTTTGATTAAGTTAATTAATCAACAATTAACTTGATTGTGGAACCAATCAATTCGATAGACAGTTAGTTATTATCGTTAAGCATGTTTAGTAGGGGAGGAAAGTCATTTTTCAAGACTTTCGAGAACAGTCAAGGCCAAGAAGGTGGTAAAATCAAAATGTGGTGTAACAAAAAAAAAGTCTTAGTTTTTGATGATCTAAAGATCACTGAAATTTGAAAGAGATCAGACAAAAAGTACAAACAGACGTACAGGACAGGACACACAAACTGAATCATCATCTCAGAACGCAGAATGATTGGTGAACCCATGAACGCCGATTTTGATATCATTGGAAACATCTCGATGAATAGCTTGGACTGGTCGCATTGAATATTCGTTAAATGGAGAAAAAAAAACGAGAATTTGTCATAATTTTCAAGTAGCTATTTCTGTGGGAACGGTTCATCGATTACCAAGTGTGTTTTCTGGGCATATGAGATGTCTTTCTAGCGATACTTCATTCATTCCAGATGGCCTTAAAAGGCCAAAAAATTCTAAAATTCGAAAAAAAAGTTCGGAATTGCGCATATTACAAGTATATAGGCGAGTTAGACTTTCAGTACTCGTGTCTGCTGTCGTCGGGTGTGATAACTAAAAAATAAAAATTAAGTAACAGAAAAAAACTGTTTTCCTTTTCAAAATTCTAATTTAAAACATCCGAGGTTATCGTGTTTAATTTTATCCTTCATACAAAAATGTATGTTCCTATCAACGCTATGAAGTGCAATGGTAATATATTCAGCAATTCCAAAACCTTTCAGAGTTGCTTTTGTCCCTATCGGAAGTTCATTGACTTGAATCATGAATAACGTTTGAAATATCATTTCTCACAGACATTTCTGCATTTTTTATACTTCCAAACTAAACCGTATAGATGCCGTTAGAGCATGCATTGCTGAATATTTTCCATTTATAGCGCATATTGTTGGTTCCTATACCTAATAAAACAACAAGGAAACTAATTAAAATCACAACAAAGCGTAGAAATTCCCATAAATTTTTTCCTGTAAAAATAAGAATCAAAATCGAAGTGAAGAAGCGCAAACTATCAATGTTTTACCATAATTTATCAAGGCGATGAACATATATTCGCTTTGATGTTGAAACATTAGCGATGCAAATCGTCAAACTTCCTTGAACTTGACGAAAATCGAGCAATATGTGTATAGCGTATCGCATTCAACA